GCAATGCGTAAAATTGAGTTGGATGAATTTGAGAGAGCATTGAGAATAAGTTCAGAAGTTGGGTTGACAGTAAAACTATTAGACACTACTTTCCTTTCGCTGCTTCGGCCAGACAGTCACCCAGGAGTCTACAGACAATACCAGCCATTTGCTGGAGGAAACAGACACAGAAAAGTTCAAAATGATTGTCTACATTGGTGCTTGCCTGGTCCAATAGACTCTTGGAATGATCTAATGATGGAAACTTTGGTCAGCAGTTGATAATATAACAGTTTTGTTCCATGTAAATATCGACGGTCCCCCAACCTGGCTCGAGTTGCCTTGATACTCGTTTGGCCTGGACACCACGGTTATACATATACGGCCCCTCATGGCTGCACATAAATTAGAGTCGACTCAATAAATCATCGCTACTTCATGTATAACGTCCCCTCTTCTCTTTTGAGATTTTTGAAAATATATTGTATACTGCAAAGTTCCCTTTTTATTTCAGGGTTCATGAAGAATGAAATATATTACAGTTGATAATTTACCATATTCTTTTTTTTTTCTTTCAGTTTGCAAACATTTTAGCCTTGTTTGTACTAATAAATTCTCAAAAGATCAAAACAGCAGGGAACAACAGACCTACAGGCAGTTATTGCAACCTCCTCATACACATCATTTCTTAATATTTTTTTAAGACTCTAGTATATATAATTTAATTTATATAGATTTCATACACAAAGTGTACCACAAATATCTCAAATCATATTTTGAGAGAAAATCACGCGTAGAAAACTAGATGTATGTATATTATTGTAACGATCCTCAAGGTTGTTTTGTGATTTTCATGTTTTTTTTCTTGTTTGACCCTCTTCATAGCGTTGGTTAAGTATTTATGACTTGCTGAAATGGGCAACATGATTTTTAAGGTGGTTGGATATTTATTATCAAATACAATTGTATCAAGTACTATATTTATTCCTTGTGTGTTCACTAAGTATGTGAGTGTATCTTCAACTGACTATAAATTTATATCACTGTAATTAATTTTATTTTGTCCTTGATATACATTTATGTCATGTGGTTTGTACTCTTTTAGAATACAATTGATACAATACTATATCTCTCTCTTGTTCAAGCATATTGAGAGTCTAAATATGAAATCAAAGAGAAAAAGAGGAAGAAGTTGTCTTCTTTGAGAAAAATATTTTATATATTGTTTCTAATCTGTTTCTGATTTTATTTTCTCTACTGGTTTTAATTTTCTAGTTTTGAAATACTCTTTAAACTTTGTTGTTTCTTATCAAGTTCTTCAAAGTTTTTGTTCTAAGTATCGTAGGAATATAGGATGAACAACATTATTAGTAATATCCCATTTGAACTCTCAGGTCCTTTGTTTCTTATTGAATTTTAATTCAAGTGAGAGATAAAGAAGGAGGAAACGATACAGAGAGTAGAAAGGAGAGCGAGAGGAGAAATTTGTTATAAAACTTTAAAATATAATTATACAATTTAATTCTTTTGAATTATAGTAATAGTCTATAATAAATACATAAAACATGATCGCTTTATTATGTAATTTTTCCATTTATTTTTAGCAACTTATTTGGCGAGTTGTAGACTCCATAAATTTCTTCCAAGTTGACCATTAATGTAGGCGCCTGCAATATTACTCAACTCTAATTTTCTTTATGTTTTTATTTTTTAGCATCACATAAATAAACTATATGAACTCCCACTCGTTTTGTGTAATATTATAACGTACGATAGAAAATAGTATAACCATTGATTTTAATATTAATGATGATCTCCAAGACTTGATGAATAAATGAAGTTATGATCAAAATATGAGAGTATTCCTCATCAATGTCTTCCAGTCGATCATAATAGAATAAATACATGATTTGCAAAACAAACTAATAGATAGCATGTCCTTATCAGTATTGACTAAGGACTTGTTTGAACTTTGATAATAGAAATTATTTACTTTTAAAAAATATAATTTTCTACTTTATTTGAAAAATTATATTTGACTATGAAAATTTTAAATTTTAAATTGAGGTTGAATTTAAAATTTGGAAATAGCTTATAGCTTGTCTTTTATTTCACTTTTTTACTTTTGGTCGTTTAGTATGAATAATATAAAGTTATTTTATGTGATTAGTTATTAATTCCTCATATATATGAGATAATTGTGGAATAAGTAATTTAAGGATTAACTAATATCCCTAATCAAATGCATAATAATCCTACATTTTATTCTGAAATTTATCTCTTCACTTTTGTACCTAACAAAATTCATTGAAGTTGTATTTAGTGCATTTGAATATGAACTTCATTCCAAATATTATTTTTTTGCAAAAAACATAACCAAACACAACATTATTTTTACCTCCAACTCCAATTCTAATTCTATTAATTTCAAATAAAGTAAAAAAAAACGCCGACGGAAACAAACATAAATTTAGACATTTTTTTATTCTTATTTTATCCGGTATTCAATATCCACATTAAAGTTCGATTAAGTTCGAAATATTCATAACAGAAAGTCTCACATTGATGGGTAAAACACTTTCTAACAAAAACTACTCTTTGTCCAGAGAAACTCCAACTCAAAACATCTAATTAAAGATGAAAGAATACTTACAACTCTACCACAACGGATTCGATACATAAATTTAGACATTTCATGACATCATTGTATACTATTTTATTATGTGAAGCAAGGCACAACTACCAAGAGTTTTCTAATCTTAGTTATCCGTTAAAACAACGGTCACCTTCAAGAAAAACTTTCACCAATATTATTGGCATTTATCAGTACAAATATGACCAATATTTCAGTTTATTATTTAATTCACCTAACTAAAATTAGAACATGATATCATGTATATTTCATATTTGCATAAACTTTTACTAAATTTCTCAAAATATTTTACTGTTTAAAAGGTGATGAGTTAAAATATAATCATAATAGAGATATTCTACTATTTACAGTAGTGTAAAATAAATTAAACAAAGATAGATTAAAATCACATAAATGAAAAGATATTAATTAAGAAGTGAATCTACTAAGATTAAATTCAGAAGTTGAGATTTTCAACGTTAATTATGTGTTTGCTTGTAGCTCTTTCAATCAAATTGGTCCAAGATGAAATATTTTATGCTATATTATTTTTAGGGATAAGGGTTTGAAAAATACCTCAATTTTGGTCGGATTTTCTATTGCGATACTAAACTTTCATGAGGACCTATTACCTCCCTAGACTATTTAATACCGTATTTTAAACATATATATTTGCCCACATGGACATAAAAAATAATGCAAAATTATAAATAGTAATGTGTCCACGTGGGCACATATATACCTTTAAAATACATTATTAAATAGTTCAGGGGGTAAAAAATACGGTATTAAATAGTCTAGGGAGGTAATAGGTACTCCTTATGAAAGTTTAGTATCGCAACAACAAATCCGACCAAAGTTGAGGTATTTTTCAAACTCTTATCCCTTATTTTTATATTTAATATATAAATATATTTTCAAGACAATTACATTTCAATCATTTGGGACAAAATGATAGTCTGAACCTAATTACTTGTCAACTTTTGAATTGACACACATATTAAGAAAACAATTATTAATATAGTAAGTTTACCATTTTACCCTTATTAATTATGAAGTGAATGAATTAAAAATTTAAAATTTTCAAAAAGTTCTACATTTTTCAAAATAATTAATTGAGGATATAATAGGTAAGAAAAAATTTGTCCTTTCTCAATTTGTCAAAATAGACAAGTAATTAAGGACAATAAAAAAATTAACAAATAATTAAGACAGATAAAGTATTAAAAATGATATGATTCATGTTTTACTTTCTTATCTAATAATTGGGTCCACTTTCTATGTGAATTGAAACTTATTTGTCATCTATTAGTTAGTCCATTAATTACACTTTAGTCTCTATCAATTGGGGCAATACTGCTACTAATAAAATGGGTTAATAGTTTACTTTCGTACCTAATTTGACCCCACTTTTTTTTTTAATTGTAGATTGAGATTTAGAATTCGTTTGAATTATCTTTATGGCATATGTATGATTTAAAAATAAATGTTTATAAATATTTTCTTATTTTATTCAAATCATATAATACTACAAAAACAAATTATTTTGGCTTAAAACATCTAAAACAAGTCAATTCAAAAGAAGCTCTTAATTACTTTTCATCTATTAATCCAACAACTCAAAAATCGATATCTTCACACTACTAAAACAATGGAACAAAACCAACTGAGTGTTTTTTTTATTTATACTCTTCAACTGTAATTTTAATTTGCACTTTAAAAACTGACCATGCCTTTCAGTTTTTGTAAATAATTTCTTTTTGAAGAACTGTGTCAATTTTCTTTTAAAAAATTAAAATACACATAAAAAAAAACTGACGGATACCCGTTGGTTTTCTATTAAAAATAAATAAATTGACGGACGATTTTCCCTGGATTTTTTGGACCGAGAGTCTATCTTTTTTTGTATTTTTTTTAGTAGTGTCTGTAGGTCTTATTTATTCCAAGGCATAGGATTCTTATAATGTTTTTGAATTGCACAAACCCCATCCTCTTTGTTTAGCAACAAGACAAAGTTCCACAGGTCTTTTCTATAATTTAGCCAAAAAAACTTCTGTCAATTGTCTTATTGTCTTTCATTTGGAGAATTTATTTTTTTTAATACCTTTTAGGGCTGCTAATTGATATGACCGAAATAATTAGGTGTCATGCGAAAGTTGACAAAACTTGGATAGACCCTGAGTAAGAACACAAACGAGAAATATATCTAAAGACACAAACATTTAACTTGGTTCAGTCAACCAACCTACATCCACAAAAGGAGATGATCAGTATAAAAATATGAGAGTAGAAAATATCGAGAAAAATAACCTCACACAACTCACCCTACCGTACTTGTCTTGTCTATATATATATTCTCATTACTACAAGTTCCTTCATCTCTTCAACAATGGCAAATACTCAAACCCTAGCACAATCACAAAATCCCCATATAGTCATGCTACCAACACCCGGCATGGGTCACTTAATCCCTCTCGTTGAATTCGCCAAACAACTCATTTTACAACACGACTTCTCTATAACACTCATCCTCCCTACTGATGGCCCCATCTCGAAATCTCAAAACACTTTCCTCAACACCCTTCCCTCAGGCATCAATTATCTCCTTCTCCCTCCTGTTAACTTCGATGATTTATCAGATGATGTTCTTATGGAAACGCGTATTTCCCTTACTATAACTCGTTCTCTTTCATCTCTACGTGAGGTTTTTAAGTCTGTAGTCGAATCTCACAGAGTAGTGGCCTTTGTGGTTGATTTATTTGGTACTGATGCATTTGATTTAGCAAATGAGCTCAATGTGTCACCTTATATGTTCTACACTACCACGGCTACGATGTTGTCTCTAGATTTGTTTTTTCCGGAGCTTGATGAAATTGTTTGTTGTGAGTATAAAGATTTACAAGAGCCTGTTCGTATTCCAGGTCAGAGACGAATCTAAATTTTTAATTTTAGTTTGTTGTTTTGATATGATACATCCTTTTAACCTGTTAATAGAAAAAAACAGTATTTTTATAACTCTTTAATATTCACTCTATTTCATTTTAGTCATAAAAAAACTTTTTTTTTAAAAAAGATTTTATGTCTAGTGAAACAATATCATATAAAGGGAAAGGAAGGAAGTATCAAACACAATATTTATTTTAGGGAAAAAGCTCAAATATACCATCGAACTTTGAGAAAGACTCGTTTAGGTCATCTGTTTTAAGTTTGATTCATCTATGTCATTTTCGTTTGAGAAAAATGCTCATAATTCATGCCATTTTTCTGATGGGCCTAAAATCAGCAAGCCCAATCCATAGAAATGGCATAACATGCTAGCTTTTATATTCGTAAGTATTATACTCTGTTACAATTTACATGACACATTTCGTATTTCGAGATTTAAACAAGTCTCTCTTTGACCGCAGGATGCAGACCTATACATGGGAAGGATCTTCCGGACCCACTTCACAATAGAAAAGATGATGCATACAAATGGGTTCTTCACCATACTAAGAGGTTCAAAATGGCTCATGGCATTATCTTAAACAGCTTCATTGATTTGGAACCTGAAACAATTAAATATCTACAAGAGGCATATAACAATAAGCCAAAAATTTACTCAATTGGACCACTTATATTAATGGATAAAAAAATTGATGATGACGTGTCACAATGTTTGACATGGCTTGATAAGCAGCCACGTGGATCAGTAATCTACATTTCATTTGGGAGTGGTGGGACCCTCTCACATGAACAAATAATTGAACTGGCAATAGGATTAGAAATGAGTGGACAAAGATTTTTATTGGTAATTAGATGTCCAAATGATAGAATTCCAAATGGCACTTATTTCAATAACCAAAATTCAACTAACCCTCTTGATTTTTTACCTATTGGGTTCTTCGAAAGAACCAAAGGGTTAGGTCTTGTGTTGCCTAATTGGGCACCACAAGTTCAAGTTCTTAGCCATGTGTCGGTTGGTGGATTTCTGACTCATTGTGGGTGGAACTCGATTCTGGAGAGTGTGGTTTGTGGCGTTCCACTTATTGCTTGGCCTCTCTTTGCAGAACAAAGAACGAACGCGGTGATGTTAACTGAGGATTTAAAAGTTGCCTAAGGCCGAAAATTCGTGACAATGGTATCGTTGGGCGATCGGAAATTAGTGAAGTGGTGAAAGAATTGATGGAAGGTGAAGAGGGAAAAGAAGTGTGTATTAGAATGAAAGAGCTAAAAGATGCAGCAAAAAAGGTGTTGAGTGAAGATGGCTCTTCAACTAAAGCACTAGATGAACTTGCTTTTGAGTTGAAAAAATGTGTCACATGATTAATTAGATCACTGATTATATTATCCCTAAATTATTACGAGTGTTTTAGTTCTAGTTCTTGAGACATTTGTTGGAAAACTGAAGTCATAATTTTCTATTATATGAGTATATGTAAGTTGAAATCAAAAGAACTATCCCATGGGATAAGTTATCTCGCGATTTTATCCCAACCAAACATGAGATAAGTTCATCTTAAAATTTATCCCGAAATTGTTATTCTACCCTCAATGTGAATGAAAATAACACTACAATTTCGAAATAAATTATCTCACAGTTTTATTCCATTTAAACACGAAATAAGTTCATCCTAAAATTAATCTCAAAATAAATTATCATTTATCCGTCGCACCAAACTAGCCCTATATGTATGTGGTATAAAACAACATTTAACTTATAAACTTTATGTTTAACTTTTTTTTTTTAAATGACTACTCCTAAATCCTAGTTGATAAAACCTTGACAATACATTATAGTGTCATTGATTGAACAGTCATCTATGGCAATTTCACACAAGGCAAAATGTCTACAAATAGACACAATCAAGGGGAAAAAAGAGTTGAGAGTCTGTCAGACAGCCATTAGACCATCCCAGCACCATAGTTGGAGCTGAGAACGATCCTCTACAGCTCCATGACCCATTGAGCCACGAAGATTGCTAATCACGCTCTAGTCTAATGGCCACATCTCATCAACCAGACTTGGTTTCCTGTCTCCTTAGAAATCAAGAATACAGTGGTACGAGCCTATAGAACAGATCCTGTTCAAGTAAGGTCGTGATATTATATCTCCATACTCAACATTAAGAACAGTTCCTCACTGCAGTGTCTAACCGATGTGGGATAAACGGACAGCATAGTTGTTTTTAAAGAATTAATTTGCGCCCATGGAGAAAACTAAGCACAAAATTAAATAAGAGAAAAATCTTTATTTGAATTCAACTCTTAAATGTTGTACCGTAAAAATTGCACTTTTATTTTCTCTTTGCAAATCCATATTTTTGTCGAAAAATTATCCTATATAGTTAATAATTTAATTTTATGTATATATGCAATAGGTTGACTCCCCTAATTTTTTGTTTTACTCGTATCTTTCTTTTAATTAATATTTTGATGCGTCCTTCATGATGAAAAGATTTGAGAGGGAAGAAAGTTTGTGTTAAATGAGTTGTCGAAACTGCAGACCAGCTGTTTGATAAAACGCCCAACAGAACAATATTTTTTCTCCTATGATGCCTGTATTTTTCATTTTGGTTTCTGCTTGGTACTTGTTGCTCGATGGGAGGTGATAAATATTCCTAGATATTAGTCAAGGTACTCGCAAGATAGCCCGGACACTACACTTACACTGAGTTTGATGGTAAATATTTTTCACCGGACAACAAATTTTTAGACACATTCTCAAGAAAAAACATTTTCTGTTGCTTAACTTAAGCCAATGAGGAAGCTCATTCTGTGTCAGCAATAAAAGTACAGTGTACTGCAAATGAAGCAAAAGTTGAAGTGGGTAGCACTGAAAAATGTAGAGTTCCATAAAAGATTTCCTTTGGCAATTCTTGGCCACTCAAAAATGCCAAATCACACACACAAAAAAAGCTATTCATCTACAAAATTGGCCCACTTAATCATCAGCCCCATGATCCTTCCACATATCTACAACTTTTCACTAGGGGATATCAAGATTTTGCTAAAATTTCAAAAAAAAGTCCTCTTGCTATGGAGGCTCTCAATGCAGCAAGATTAAACCCTGTTTCAGTTTTTTCTGATAGAAGAAATGAACCCAAAAAAATCCCATCTTTCCAATTCAAGAACCTTCAAAATTCATCCAATTTTAGCACCAACTTGTCAAGATCAGTAGAGGGTATATCAAGAAATGTTCAAGGGGGTTTAGTTTTACTTTCCTCTGTTTTCACTACAGGTTTAGCTAAAGCATTGACATACGAGGAAGCACTTCAGCAATCAACTACTAGTACTAGTACTAATGATTTTGATGCAAATGCATTTGTTGAAACCTTAACCGATTTCGTATCAGATAATCCTTTAGTTATAGCTGGTGGTTTTGCTGTTTTGGGTTTACCATTTATTGTGTCTCAGGTGTTTGGTAAAATGCCTAAGCCATCTTGGGGTGTTGAGTCTGCTAAGAAAGCTTATGCAAAATTGGCAGATGATGTGAGTTCAGAGTTAGTTGATATAAGAGCCACTGTTGAATTGAAGCAAGAGGGGAGTCCAGATATAAGTGGTTTCAAGAAGAAGCCAGTTACAATTGTATATAAAGGTGAAGATAAGACAGGGTTCTTGAATAAGCTAGCTTTGAAGTTTAAGGAGCCAGAGAATACCACATTGTTCATTCTAGACAAGTAAGATTTCAAAATTATTCTAATGTTGATTGTGTACATAGAGTTTTGTGTTTTTGAAGGCATAATTAAGTAAATAAAAGTGTGTGCTCTCTGACAACTTAAACTTTTAGTTAGAGTGATCACACACTTCAACATGGTTTCATAGCAAAAAGAGGTCCTTTGTTCAAGTCTCACTATACCCATTATCAAAAAAAAAAAAAAAAAAAAAATGAAAGACAAGGAATTTGGTCTAAGAAAGAGAGTAACACCCGCACGTGAAGGGGCGTGTTGAAGATGTAATTAAGTAACTAAAGGTGTGATCATTCTAACCGTTTAGGTTTTTAGATGAGATGGTCGCACACTTCAACATATGTTTATCTTTTTGGAATCTTAGTGAAACCTGGCGCATATTGTCCCTTAAACTGAACTAGACAAAGAATCACGTGCTTACATTCTTTAACCAATCAGGGGTCGTTTGGTAGAGTGTATAAGGATAGTGATGGTGTATTAGTAATGCTGGTATTAGTTATGCTTGCATTAGTTTTACTGAGATTATTTCTTATGTAGTGTTTAGTGTGGTATATTAAAAATAACATGCATTGCATAATTTCTAAAAAAAATAATTTGTTTACAAAAATAGCCTCCACAAATATGCTTGTATCGGCCAACTAGTTGAACAAATTAACTCTAATCCTTTTTCTTTCTGGATTGTAATGAAGCCAGATTTGATGGAAACTCTGAACTGGTTGCAGAGCTTGTCACAGCAAATGGTTTTAAATCTGCATATGCAATTAAAGATGGTGCTGAAGGTCCCCGAGGATGGAAGGTTATACTCAAAAATATTGTTATCTTTCTGAATTTCCTAGAATGTTGGTGGCGTGAAGCATACTGAATTCCAATTTCTGCAGAATAGTGGCCTCCCTTGGATACTTCCTAAGAAAACATTTAGTCTTGATCTGGGCCTGTCTGATGCTCTTGATGGTCTTTTTGGGGTATGTTTTTCTCTCTTAAAGCACTGTTACTTTGCATTTGACCTCCCAAATACAGATATGGTTATGCCATTTGAGTCCAAGAAGTTTATGGGGTTTCTGCAACTGCAAATTGGTAAAATGTAATGTTTGTAGTCTATAAACTCATCGAAGGAAAAGGCATGGTAAATATGCATGCAATAGGAGTGACGTTGATTTAGGATGTCACGGCAGAATTTAATGAGTTGATATCTCACTTCCTGGGATTTTCAATGCATACAACTTCTGTTTTTCCTAATTGCACAAAAAATGCCAAAAGTTCATGGTCGTATTGACTATAACCCGGCCTCTTAGCTATGGTTTTCTATAGAAGTCCTACCATATAGTAGGAGTGGACAAATCAAGATTTTCTTTTTCTATTTTAAAATGCAAGGAACAGTTGTACATTTCTGTTTTGTAGATTTTCTGCACTTTAACTCCTCAATCCTTATATAACAATTCCTAGGTGAATGGTTTTGTGATGACAGATACAGGTAACACCTAACATCCCTTTAAAACAAATGATAGATATAAGTGATATTTCACATTTTTATTTAAGAGACTACTCAACTTGCATTTTATCAAAATCCATTTGGCTATATGGTGAAAACTACTAGTCTACTGCTACTATTGGCGTAACATTTTGACTTAACTGAGATAACTTTGGTGGAATGTGGATATGCAGGACAGTTCTGATTCTGTCGCTGTAGGTTTGGGTGTTGCCGCAGCTGCTGCGTTTGGACTCTTGGTGTTCTCAGAGGTCAGGCTCCAATATATCTTATCTTGAACATTATATTGAGCACAATTTGTTAGAAAGCTCACCATTGGTCCTTTTTATCAGGCGGAAACATTACTTCAACTGTTAGGTTCAGCTGGACTTATCCAACTAGTCAGCACAAAACTTCTATTTGCAGAGGTACGTCAGCACCATTTACAATGTATCCTTTTCTTGCCTCGAAAGGGATGTCAGAAATGTAGTCCTGCCGAACTGGCCATTACCTGCACTCATCTATCTTGCATTGCTCATTTCTTTTACCTGATGAGTTTCTTATCCTTTTTTCAGTAACAAATATATCCTTCAACTGTAATAAGATCTTGAATCTAAAATTGTGTATTCTGAAGACCACTTGAAGGCTCAAATTATAACATGTAAAAGAAATATCAACAACAGCAACAACGACATACCCAGTAAAATCCCATGGATGGGGTCTGGGTAGGGTGGAGTGTACGTAGACCTTACCCCTACCTCGTGGTGGTAAAGAGGCCGTTTCCAAAAGACCCTAAGCCAGGTAACACATATCAAAGCAGATATAAAAAGAGAAAAAAGAAGCGGCTCAGGTAACACATATCAAAGCAGATTTCAAAGGAGAAAACAGAATTAATGAAGACATCGCAAATAATAGGGGAAGTATTCTAAAACATACAGAGAAAAGGAACAGTAGCAGGTAGCCACAACAAAATAAAATGACAGCCAAAACACAATAAACTACACGTAGTAATAGAAATTGAGTGACAAGAAACAACAAGAATGGTGCTAATACTACCGGTATGCAAGGAGAAGCCTATCTCGCTAGATAACGAGATGACACTCAACTACCTACTAACCTACCACCCTAATTTGTGACCTCCGTAACTTCCATGAAAGATTTGATTTATTAATTTT